AGGTCTCTCGGGGCTCCCGATGACCTGGCTGTGTGGGGCGGTTGGTCAGTCTGTCTGTCTGTCTGGTCTTGGCTTCGAGGGGAGTTCCATCCTAGCTGCTCCGCACCTTGCCCTGGGAGTTTTAGGACACTGTGAGAGGCTGGGAAGGGCCGCTCTGGAAGCTTCTGTGTCTGGGGAGGCCAGAGACTGGGCTGAGGGCCCTGGACCCCCAGCCAGGATAATGGCGGGCTCCGTGTGCCCGCGGCGGTGCTGCTCTCTCTGCAGAAGCTGGGGTGCTGGCGTGACTCCTCCCCTCCCCCTCGGGTGACTGATGGCAGGCAGGCTTTGTGGGAGCTGAGCAGCCGGCAACTGCAGCCCGGATCCCAGGGCCCCTGCCCACCTTGCCGCCGCTGGGTGACTGTGGAACAATGCCCAGGACTGGCCTGCCCCTTCACTGAGGCCCTTTTGTCACCATGGGTGGCTGTGGGGCTCAGAAAAGGAAGATTGTCCCCCTTACAGGGAAGAAGAGGGGAGCCCCGAACCCCAGCAGTCTCAGTGGATCCATGTGCCACTCAGCTTTGCTTTAAGTCTGAGCAGGTCAGGGCACACGGCGGCCTGCCTCCCTCAGCCCCGGGCCCTGTGCTGGACGGAAGTGGGGCGCCGTGCGCGTCAGGGGCCACAGCGGGGAGTGGCGTCAGTTCCACGTGCCGATCGTGAGATGTGGCGTAGCCACAAAAATTAGGGAAAGAGCTGGGCACCGGTGGCGCACGCCTGTCATCCCAGCTACTCAGGAGGCTGAGGTCTGAGGATGGCAGTTCGAAGCCAGCCTGAGCAGGAGAGTCCATGAAACTCTTCTCTCCAATAAACCACCAGAAAAGTGGCTCTGTGGCTCAAGGTGGTAGAGCGCTCGCCTTGAGCAGAATTGCCGAGGGACAGCGCCCAGCCCAGAGTTCAAGTCCCATGCCCACACAAAAAACAAGAAAAGGAAGGATCTGAGAACAAAGAGGAGATGGGGCTGGGAAGGTGGCTCAGTGGTAGAGCACTCGCCTTGCATGCCTGAGGCCCTGGGTTCCATTCCTCAGCACCACATAAGCAAAAAGAAAAAAGCCAGAAGTGGCGCTGTGGCCTTGAGCTGAAGAGCTGAGGGACAGCGCCCAGGCCCAGAGTTCAGGCCCCACGACCGGACCCCCCCCCAAAAAAAAAAGAGGAGAAAGAAGAGGGCAGCTGTGTGCAGCCAGGAGAGGACGTGGATGCATTTTTCTTTCCTATGCGGTGTACGCAGGCGTGTGGAAGGGGGGGAGGAGGCTGGGTTGGGGGAGAGGTGGGATTTAGTCTCCCACCGGCAAACCCCTCCCGGCTCCAAGGACAGCTGAGGGAATACTCGGGGTTGAAAGGGCTGCATGTGCGAGGCCAGCGGGGTAGAGGCTGGCGGAGGCTGTGTGTGTACGCTCAGCAAGCAGAGTCTGGCAGTGGTGACCCTAAGCCCCATTTCTTCGCTTTGGCTATGCCCCAGGCACCCCCCGCCCCCCACACAGATGGGGAGACTGGGCCTTCGAAGGCTGAATCCCCCCCCCCACAGATGGGGAGACCGGGCCTTCGAAGGCTGACTCACTGAGGCGCCTGGAAGCTGACTCAGCAGAAACGAAGGCATCGGAGCCAGATACACAGACCCCCTCTCCGCCGGCCGTTCCCCCTGGGGGGGGATGAGTTTTGTGGATTTCTCTCTCGGCAGATAGGGAAAGGGCGGGGGAGGGGGGGAGAGGTGGGGTGGCGGGGAAACCTGAGACCAGGAAAAAACAAAAAAAATGAGGGAGAGAGCCCCAGCTGCTACTGCCTAGGCCTGGCCTGTAATCCCAGCCCACAGAGGAGGCTGAGCTCTGATGGATCAAGGTTTGAAGTCAGCCCAGGCAGGCAGGAGTGGGGTGGAGGTGGGGGGAAGGGATGACATTGACAAAAAGCCCGTCAGGTAGCTGTGGCTCAAGTAGTAGAGCACCAGCCTTGGGTGGAAAAGCTAAGGGCCAGCACCCAGTCCCTGCGTTCAGGTGGGGGGGAAGGAGGGGAGGGAGGGAGGGAGGGAGGGGGAGCATCTTGGGGACAACCACCTGCCCACCTCCCTTCCCCCCTTCCCCCCTCCTTCCCCCACTGGCTTTTCTGCCCCACAGCCTTCGGGTGCCTGGGTCGCTGGCGGCTTTACTTGCCATCAGAGCACAGGCCAGCGGCTGCAAGGATCCCGGCTGGGCTGCTGGGGAGGGGAGGGCAAACCTGGAGGATTTTATACCCCGGGCCGTGCTCTGATTGGTCGCCCCTATGCAAATGAGCCACGGGGCAACTGGCCAATCAGAGAGAACCTGCTGACTCACTGCACACCTGAAACCTAGTTCTCAATTATGTCTGTCTGGTGCATCTCGAGCCATACACACCCCCCCCCCCAGCACGGTGCAGGAGGAGGAGGAGGGGAGCGAAGGGGAGGAGGGAGAGAGCAGAGGAGGGGGAGGGAGGGGGAGGGGCAAGCCAAGAGTGGGGAGGGTCTTTTTTTTTTAATTTGCATTTTCCTCCAGTCAAGGGCAGCTGGTCCCCCCCAGGCCTGGGGCCCTAACTAGTCCACTATTTAACTATTTACCTTCCTCACTAAATCCCCTTCCACCGGCCCACAGGGAGAGGGAGGGGGAGGGGGTTCAGCGCCAGCCCCCCCTTGCCCTGCGGCTGCACTCTACTGAGGCCGGTCTCTAAGCAGCCCCTCTTTTCCCCCCCAGAGACAGAGCAGATGGGAGGCTGTCTGTGGCTACCCTAAGCCCAGCCCTCTCACCCCCTCTCCTTAGTCTACGAGGTGACCCCCCCCCAAAAAAACCCCTCAAGGCCTGGGAGCCAGGGCTCGGCCCATCCAACACCCATTAGCGGGTGTTTCCTTCTGCAGCAGAGACTGGAGTTCCCGTCGTTTCCTTCCGGCTGGTAAGGGAGGGTGGCTTTGAACTGGGGGTGGCTGTGGTCCGGTGCGTGTTAGTTTGCTGCCTCCCAGCCAGTGAGCTGCGCTCCGTGTCTCCTGCAGCCCAGAGCTCCGGGAGAGCCCCTGCCTTCAGCTCCTTCCTTCCTTCTTCCCACCTAGGCCTGTCCAGGTCGGAGCAGGGACGCGGTGGGTCCTGTCATTTGTCGGTTGGTTCACTGACATTGGTTTGAGGGAACGGGGGTTGGCTACATAGCCCAGCCTGGCCTCCATCTTGTGATCCTCCAGCCTTGGCCTCCCAACTAAGTGCTGGGGATGACTGGCAGCCACCTCCATCCCCGCCCGAGGAATCTGAACGAGGTCGTGGGCTAGGGCTGGCTGGCGTGAGAATAGAGAGAGCTGGAGAACAAAATCCCAGAATCGAGATGGCATGAGTCCATGTGACCCAGCTTGGGGACCGGAGGGGACACTATTGATCGATCCGTCTTAGCTCCAGAGTGCTTGTTGGGGGTCCGAGGGCCCCCCTGGGTGGAGCCAGGGCTGAGCACACGGGGTCAGCGGGTCGGCTACGGGCAGTGAGGCGGCCGGAAGGGGGAAGGGCCGGGCCCTTTGGACAGGAAGCCCCTTGAGACACACCAGCCCCCCTGCCTGACCCCTGTCAGGGCTGGGAGCCCCTGGACCAGGCAACGCACTCAGGGAGCTGGAGGAGGAAATTGGGCCTCTCTTTTCCTCCCCAGTCCCCAAACATCTTACCCAAACCTCCCGCTCTGTGATGAGGAACCAGAGACGCGCAGAAGGGAGGTGCTGGGGGGGGAGGGTCCGGGCAGGGGGAGGCAGGGGGGGGGAGGAGGCCCGGGGGGGGGGGGGGAGGCAGCCCCGGTCCGCGCCGGCCTTTGGACCCGGCAGGTTCCCAGCCTGCACTCGCACAGAGGCTTGCCTGAATTTGTGTCTTTTCTTGTCACTCATGCGATCCGGGATCCCCGAAAAGGCGCTGGGGTGATCCCCTGTGATCATCTTAAATGACTGCATTGATTCAGAAAAGAGAAGGGGAAAAATGCTGTAGTCAAAGCTGGACAAACCCGGAGGGGCGCGTGCGGCTGTTGGCTTGTGCGCGGGACGCATTCTGTTGTCTGTCACATGGGGGCTTTGAGGATGACTGGCAGAATCCCACAACTCCCCCCCCCCCACCCGTCAGACCCAGCCCAACCTGCAAATCCCTTCTGGAACATTCCTGGTAGTGACTGTACCAGTCACTTCAAGGTACCACCTTGCCCGCCCTCCCCCTAGCCACCTGCCCGCACTGCTCACCCACAGCCCAGTCAAGGCTGAGACTCTGGGTACTGCCCTCAGTACCAGCCAAGCCAGCCTCCAGCTGAGGCCCAGCCTCTCCCTCTCCCCCCCCCCCTTGGGGCCTCCTGGCTTCACCCGACAAGTGGAAGGTGCCCGGGGAATTTGCTCTGGGGGTTTGAATGTGGAGCCCCTGGGAGCTGGGGAGAGCGGCTTGCACAAGGTGCTCAAGAGGAGAACAAAGCCTTAGTGAGCAATCCTGAATTCCTGGGCAGGGAGGGTGGGGTGCTTTATCTCCTCTCTCCTTTCTCATCTTTGTTTTTGGTTTTGTTTTTGGGTAACACAGGCTGGGTCTTCCCTTCTCTTCCCGAGAAAATACAATGAATAAATAAATGTTTATGGGCGCCTTCCACTGCGCCCCCAACCCCCCAAAATAAGAGAGAGTGGCTTACAGGAAGTTCTTCTGGTCCCAGATGATTTAAGTCTTCTCAGAATTGATGTCTAGAGCCGGATACCCGTGGCTCCCGCCTGTCATCCTAGCTACTCAGGAGGCTGAGATCTGAGGATCGAAGTTCAAAGCCAGCCCGGGACAGGAACATCTGTGAGACTCTGATCTCCTATGAACCACTCAGAAAACAGGAAGTGGCGCTGTGGCTCAAGGGGTAGAGCACTTGACCTGAGCTGAAGAGCTGAGGGACAGCGCCCAGGCCCTGAGTTCGAGCCCCATGACCGACAAAGAAAAAAAATCGCTGTCTAGGCTCTTGGTACGCCACCATTGCTGTGTCAGAGGGGTCATTTAGTGACCCCACGACTCTCCCCTCCTATGGGGTGCAGGGGAGGGAACAAAGCCACGCCAATCTCACTCTTTTCTATCCTTGTGTGCCTGGGGATGGGAGGGAGGCAGCCAGAGAGCGGAAGGTCGGGGGTGGGGGGGTGGGGCAGGGGGCGGGCGGGGGGGGGGCTAGCCTCAACCCTGCAGTGTCCAGCAAGAAGGGTTCTCAGAGTGCAGGCGGACTCGGAGCCACACAGCCCGTTAGCGGTGCAGGCGTGCGTGTGTGCATAGGCCCGAGTGCAAGGCACCTGTGTGCTCTCGTGTGTGTGCATGTGTGCGCCTGTGTGTGTGTGTGTGTGTGTGTGTGTGTGTGTGTGTGTGTGTGTGGTGCTGAGAGGCCTAGCTCTCAGGCCTAGCGAATGGATTCAGGAGCGAATGGATTCAGGAGAGGAGTCTCCGGGTCTCTGTCCACACCAAGGGCTCAGACACAGCCCAAGGCTGTTTCTAGAATTCCGTTTGCTTCAGTGGCCGTAGTTTATTTGGGCCCACATGAGCCTAGAAGTACAGGGGTGAGAGCTGAGAGCACACACACACACACACGTGACGGAGCCGTGGCTTCGGGCAGCGTGGTACGGATATTCCCACGGTGGTCCCACCTGGGGGACAGGAGCGTCGGGCTGTCTTGGCTGGACGCCGCCATGGCGGGACAGCTCCAGCAACTCCAGAAAGCCAAAGGGGCCGCCCGCGAGGGGCTTCGTAGGCGCCAGCTCCCTACAGAGTCTTGGAAACATTGGGGATCATGCCTGAGGGCAGGCTGGAGGAGGGGGTGCCGGGCCGGCAGACATGCTGCTTTCCCCCCTTCCCCCCCGCCCCCGGGGAAGAAAGGACACAGCAAGAAAAATTGGTGTTAGGCTGATGTGGAAATCAAGGCTTCCTGTGCCCTGGCAGGGGGGGGAGAGCCCGGGGCAGGGGTGGAGGGGTGGGGGCCACCTGACACCCCCCAGCCAGGGCGCTAGGAGACTTACAGTGGCCGCAAGCCAGACGCCCCTGGAGGTCAGCGGAGGGACTGCACCCATTCCATAGCCAGGGAGGCTGAGAAGACAGTGGCCGATCCAGGACTGGAACCCAGGCACTTCCTTTGCTTCCCTAATGTTCTCTCAGCAGAGAGGCTCACGAGCGCTGTCTAGGGGTGCCGCCCCCTCGTCCCCCCAGTTCAGGATCAGGCCCCCTCTCCTTGGAAGAGGCCCCGCAGCAGCCGCCAGGCCGTCCCCCCAACCGAGCGCGTTACCTCTGTTCACAGTGACGGCTCCTGCGCCCAGGCCGGCGGGGGTCTGGAGGACTCTGTGGCAGCGGCGGCAGCCAGCAGACCCGCTGCCCACGCCCCGAAGGCTCAAGCCCAGGAGCTGCAGCAGGAGGAGGAGCTGCCCGGGCCAGACGGGACCTCCCCGAGGGCTGGCCTCCACCGTGGGGCCTCCCCTGGCCGGCCTCAGCCCGCCCACACCCCTGCCACTTCCGAGTACGAACGCTCCCTTGACCTAAAGAGTAAACAGGTACCCAGGGCCTCCGGAGGGGGGAGCGGGGGCGGAGGGCCCTGCCTTTTGGGGGCCCGTCTGGGGTGCCAGGGACCACCCCTCCGCGGGGGTGCCATGGGGTCTCCTGAATGGAGCCGCCTCCCCACCCCCTCCCCTGGAGCATGGCAGGAAGGGGGTGCAGGTCACCCCAGCTCCCATCCAGAGCCTTCACCCATCCGGCAGGGATGGAGTGCTGTGCCGCCAGGCCTCGGGCAGGGCTGCGGGGTCCCTAACCTCCCCTGCAGGCCCCTAGGTGAGGGGCCGTGACCCCTCAGTCCCCACCTGAACCCAGCCCACCTGTGATCCTACGCCTGGCCCGGAGGAGCGGGGTGCAGCGGCTCTGACTGAGGGTCCCAAGGCCCGTGTAACAGAGGGCGTCTGGAGTTCCAGTCGGGAAAGAGCCCCCATGGCGGGGGCCCCCGTCTGCCGTTCTGTCAGACAGCCATGGGCCCATTAAACCTAAAGAAGGACAGAACGAAGGTAGATGTCAGTGGACACCTGAGACGCAGAGGGTGTGTGTGTGTGTGTGTGTGTGTGTGTGTGAAGATGTCACTATTAAGAAACAGCTTTGAGGCCGGGCGCCAGTGGCTCACGCCTGTCATCCCAGCTACTCAGGAGACTGAGATCTGAGGATCACGGTTCAAAGCCAGCCCAGGGAAGGAAAGTCCGTGAGACTCTTATCTCCAATAAACCACCAGAAAACCAGAAGTGGTCTGTGGCTCAAGTGGCAGAGCGCTCGCCTTAAACAAAAAGAGCTCAGGGACGGTGCCAGGGCCCTGAGTTCAAGCTCAATGACTGACAGAGAGAGAGAGAGGTGGGGGGAGGGGAGGAGGGAGGGCTTTGAGCATGGAGATGTAAGACTTGGGGTCCCCTCCTCTGACTGTCTGTGGCCATGGGGTATCAGGTCAGTGGAGCACTCTTGCGTGTTCATTTCTTCATCCCCAGAATCAGAAATTAGACTTGCAATCCTCTTCCAGAGCCCGAATGCTCGGCCTCCCGTGGGACCGAGGGGGGGCGGGGGGCAGAGCGCCTGGCCATCAGGAAAGCGTTTAGAGTCTCGCGTGTGGGCAGGGGAGAAAGAGGTGGAGATAAGGAGTGCAGAATTTCCTGAAGAAAGGGGGGGAAATAGAAAAGGAGGGAAGGAAGGAAGGAAGGAAGGAAGGAAGGAAGGAAGGAAGGAAGGAAGGAAGG